TAGTTGGGCAGCCGAAGGCCTGGCTCTTGGCTGAGCAAGACACTTCTCAATAAACGCTTTGGCCTCGGGATCCTTCACCTTGTTCATGGCCTGAGGCCTCACTCCAGATGTCACCTTCTTGTAAATCTTTACCACATTATCACATTCGCTGTACGGAAGCTCGAGAGTCACCATCTCGAGCAAGCACATCCCAAACGAGTATATATCTATCATCTCTGTGTAGTTCTCGTCATACAGCTCAGGTGCCATGAATTCCGGTGTCCCCAGCACTGAATGGGCCGAGTGGTTTTTCCCAACTATAGCTGCCAACCCGAAATCGCCGATTTTCACCTGCACAATTGCATGAAGAAGGCCAATTTTATTAAATTACAATAAAAATAAATAAATTATTATTAGTGCAAAGATGAGGAAAAACAATTTGTAGTAGAAATTTTAAATGGCAGCAACTTCCAATCTATAATATGAAGAAAAGCCACTAGCTATATCATTTGTTCTTCTGTCTTCTTTATAGATTAATATCTGAATCATGTAATAAAACAAAAGACAGAAAAGGCTGCTTTAACCATTTCTTTTTTTACCTGGCCAACATTGCCGTTTATGAAGACATTGCTACAATTGAGGTCCCTGTGAATGACACAAGGTTCGTGTGTGTGCAAATAGTCGAGCCCTTTCAAGATCTGCCTTGACCACTTCTTGATGGCCTTCATCGAGACATGCCTGTGCCTTTTCCGGTACTCTCTTAGATTACCGGACGTACAAACCTCAGTTATGAAATTCAGGGTGTTCTTCTCCTTGTCCCGCCAGACAGAGTAAAGGGCAATTATATTCTTGTTCTTCAGGTTCCCGAGCAGGCGGACTTCAGAAAATAGTCGATTAATCATGGTCTCGTCATCTGAGAAGTTACGTAGTTTGACTTGATTCCAGGCGACTTCAATTCCTTCTTCTTGGTCAAAGGCTCTGTAGACTTTCTTCACGGCTCCCGAGCCCAGAAGCTCTTTGTAGCGGCCATATC